GCATCCTCAGATCTCTCTCACCTCTGCTTCCATCATCACATCTCTTGGCATCTCACTGTGGTCCCCCTGCCTCCCTCTTACAGAGATCCTTGTGATGACAGTGGGCCCACCTGGATAATCCAGGACAATCTCCCCACCTCAAGAACCTTAATCACACCTGCAAAGTCCCTTTTGCCATGTAAGGTAACATTCCCGACCTCAGGGACAGGGGCATCTTTGAAGGTCCATTATCTAGCCGACCACAACTGTAAGGATCATTAACCTAATAAAAATTCCCTAAATAAACTTTAGTGCCCCCAAATTATAGCTTGGCTATGTTAATGCATCCCAAGTTAAGATCTACATTGAACATCTACTGTTATTAATTACTAAAGGAGTGGTTCTCACACTTTAATGTACCAGAATCACCTGGAAAACTTGTTCAGGTAGATTTCGGGGCCCATCCCCTAGTTTCTGATTCAGAATTCCCAGATCAGGGATGGGCCTCAAGAATTTGCATTTCTAACAAGTTTTCAGCTGCTGTTGCTGGGTGAGAAACAACCCCACCAAAACAGGAAGTGGATTTTACAAATAGTAATAAGTTCCCCAAAGGGATGGTAGTGAGGAGCTCTGGCGACCTCTTGGGAAGGTGATGCATGGAAATGCATAATTTATTCTTCAAATATATTAATTATTCCACAAAGTCCTTAGGGAAGCTGGCTATTTTGGTAAAATGTATTCTAACTCTTAAGTGATTGATTTCTGTGGAGATGTGTGATGACAGATTGGCAACTACTTAAAGAAACATCTATTATTAGCACATTATTTTAAAAAACCCAAAGGGGAAATAGTAATTATATGCCTCTTTGCAATAAGATCTAGAATGAAAAAAAAATGAGGCAAATTAGCTTTAATTGCACTATTATATTCACACAAATCATATCTTGCTTCAATATTTATTTTATGGCAAAATAGACTATTATATATGTTTTTCACATATATTCAGTTGTTTAAATTCATTTGCCCATTAAATGTACACACTTTTACAAACCAATGACAGTTTAGAAGAATTAAGCTCTGATTATACATTTTTACATTATTTATCACCAGACAATACACCATATAAAACTGCTTTTTGAACTATAAAATAATACAACTATTTATAGTACCATTTCAAAAAGGTAAAATTTTCAGTGCATTGCTTGAATTACAGGGGGACTTTCTAAGAAAATGTATTCATATAAATCTTCTCCAAATTTTGGGTTTATTTCTTAGGCCTATTAAGTCATATTAACCTCTGTTTGAATTTTTATTTAAATGCACTTGCTATTACCTAAATGTTTATTTTTAAATTATGCTTTGCTAAATTTACTGTGGGTTGGGGTAAGATTGCTTCAGCTACTAATAGCTCAGAAACATACAAATTCCTGGTTACAGAGTAATTCTTCATCTGAACTAAATAGCATCAATTATATTCAGAATATCTCCCTCTATTAAGCACAATACAGTGAAACATTGAGGTGTTTTATAGGAAAATATTTAACATTTGCATGATAAAAATCTAAGTATTTTATATTTTGATATAAAAAATTACTTGAGAATACAGTAAAAAGGAAAAATCTATTTCAGTGACCCAATAACAATCTTTTGAGAAAGGTTTGACTGTGTATCCAAGTTTCTTAAAAGTCTTAATATGTTAACAAATATTTTCCCCTCATTTTCAGTGTGTTAGAATTTGAGTACACTAATAATTGTATAATAGCTCAATTTTAAAATAAGAAATTACATTGCTTACTTTCAATATAGAACTTAAAAAATCTAATATGGAGAGGGTCTAACTGACATTAACAGAAATTTTTCAAAAACATTAAGAAATATCCCTATACAATAACTACTTCAGTTTCTCTGTTGTGCCATAAAACCAAACTATGCAAACACACCCATTAGAGGTCTACCAATCTAAAAGTTGTTACAAATTATATTTTTTTCCTTTCACCTTTTTGTTTAACTCATGTGGGTTTAAGAGTTTTGAATTATTTTCCATCTTGCGTTTATTAAATCTGGTCTGGAAGTAAGTTTTTCTCCTCTGGAGAACATTCACTTTTTTTTCCAGGCTATTTGTTGTACTGAACCATTATTGAACCTGTATTACTCCAGTAAAACTACAAAACCATTAGACCCTTTCAGGAGACTTAACTATAAGATTAAATTACTATGTTTCAATAATTATTACTATAAAATAAGTCACCCAAATCTGTCTCATTCAATGGTCCAATAATTTAAGTGATTTCTAATAAACTTCTAGGATAAAAAGTCTGGACAGTTTCTTAGCATTTATGACAGCACTTTGACCTGCAATATTTGCACTCTTAGGAAAAATGAGTGACTGAGCATACATTCCCCACTTACTTGGTTCACTTTTTCTCAGCTGATACATGAGCAGATAGAAATGAAAAGCCAGTTATCATTAACTCTGTATTAGTTTCATCAACAACCTACTCAAAAAATTGAACACTGACAGACTCATGTTAGGACTAACTCAGGTAATCCAACCCTCTGAATTTCTCTGGTGGTATAGACCTGTTCATAAAGGTGAGTACTGTAGATTTTTTTCTCCAAGCTTTTTCAGTGTGAATTTAAAATACACATACACACTTAAAATGTCAATAGTGACAATGGAAATAAAGTTCTGGTCTTTTTACACAGTTTAAAAACTACCTACCAGTCCAGTTAAAATTGCAAATTTATTGCACTGGGATCGTGCACAGCTATAGCCAGGGTGGGTACAACTACATCACAGATTCAGAGCCAATGGGTCTTAGAGATTTCAAATGGTCCTTTTATCTGGCACACCACAAAGTCATTTTAACAGAAATTAAGGGATAATGGTCAGAAAACTTACCTAACTAGTAAGTAATTGTCAAAAACTTGGAACCGTATGTCAGCCATACTGTTCTACAGTCAAACACAATTATTCCTTTTTTATCATTTATTTGTACTTATTTATAATATAAAAATATAATTTAAAATTAGTATATATATCTATGATTACTCTTTCCTAACCCATCAACATATTGGAGAGTTTAGATTTACTCTAGTTTTTGAAAACTAAGTATTTTAATATCTCAAATATATTGAGGTGACTTAAGCATCTTTGGAAATCAGATGTGCAGACAGACCCTAATTTACATACACGTGACCTGGAGATGTCCTTTACACGGGAATACTGCCTTGGAACTGCTGCTTCCTCAGCTGGGTGCTGTACCGTAAGCTTCCCCTTTGGCCCATCTCCACTTCCCATTTCATGCCCGTGACAATCCAAAGAATATGTGAGTGGAAAGAGGAAAGCTAGGGCCTGTATTGCCAATTCATCCGCCTTCACCCCTGCCCCACCTCACAGCCAGCTACCTGGTGGCATCCCTGCTCGCCTCATCATATGTCCCATTCTGTTCCTTACCCTTCATGCGCCACTCAAGGTTCTGAACAGACAATGGGATATTCACGTATGAATATCTTAGGTCCCTCATGAGTCACGGATCAATCTGCCTTCAATTGCTTGCTGAGGCTCAGTCCCACTACCAAGCAGACACAGAGAACCCCTTCTCTGTTTCACCACCAGGGAGCAGCAGGGGGAAACTGCTGTATATTTTTCTTGGAGGACTGACTGTGGTCACCGGACTCTGTACCACTGCTTCCCATTCAGAGCCCCTGTAGTTAAAATTCGCTTGGGGAGGACAAACCAAGAGAGTTAACACTCACTTCGAGTATTGTTCATAAGGGGAAATATTACTACATCTCAATAACTCAACAGACATCTGAACTTTGAGAGCAGAGTCTTTATTTGGGAACTGCCTGTAGTGATGTACAGAAAATGACGCCACGTTAACAATCCAAGGACCACTTCGCAAGTTCTCTAACATTCTCTCTCCATCCACCCTCCCCAAACACACACCGACTTTGAACAACCGGACTTTCTGATCTTTCCTCATTTTTTCTCCAATTGTAGACATGGGGGTAAATAGAACCCTTATCTCTAGGAACTTGAAAAACTCGTGTTCTTTTGAGAAACATTTATTTTCCCAGGCAAATTCCTAATGTACCATTTCCTCTATTTTTGAAATGTACTCCCTCAGCTCAAAAAAGAGCCCCCTCCAATTTGGATCTTTTAAAAATAAACTTTAAACTGGGAAGAGATCGTATTAGCTTGTTCCACATGAAATCTTGATGGAAGCAAAGCCCCTAAATTTATAGCTAGAGTTCCTCTTGAGAAACACCTTCTAGTCTGATTTTTAAAATGATTTACAGTAAATGCTGTCTTATTTCCATCTGTTCATGCAAATCTCCATTAAATCTGCGCTTACATTGCAGCTGACGTCCAGCTTTAGATTTTAATACGTGTAAAGTTTTACACATGTATAAATTTAAATTTTCTTAAACATATATATTTAAATTTAAACATATATATTTAAATTTTCTTAAAATTACAAACATTAACACATGAACCCATTTGAGATGACTTTTCTCCCCATGATGAAAGCTTGGCCATAACGTCGTCACTCCGTCCTACAACCCGACACCATCCTCCGTGTTTCTGCCCAGACCTTGCTTCTTCTGGAAGATTCTTAGGAAGCACAGGTATAGCTTCTGTTTTAATCCTGCCAAAAGGTTTAGAAGGCTAAATCCTAGGGCTTTCGGAATGCTTCACAGTAGATGTTCCAGAAAAAAGTAATGATAATGACTGCAATGAACATTCCAAGTGATATTCTAACTAACCAGGAAAAGTGACGCCAGAGATGCCAAAACGGACCCCGGAGAAGCCCTCATTTGTAACCTACTTTTGTAGAAATGTACATTTTGGTAATTTTGATTTGAAATTAACAATTTCAAGGCACTAAAAGACACGAAGATACTGAAGCAGTGCCTAATTTTGGCAGACAATAACACCCTCATTTCAGACGGGGTAAGCTAGGAAACCTCAATGTTTTCGAGTTCGCTCTTGAAAATCACATGGTATCAGAGTCTATAATTTAGATTTATTTTTATTCAGAAATACTTTCATATTCACTAACTATAATGAAAAATTTAAAAATTCAAATGGGACAAAAGGTTACATGGTCTGAGAAGCTATGTCAAACATGCAACATCGTAAGCGTGACATTCGAACTGCCATTCGGCCCTCATACTTTCTTATACTCAAATTATGACAACAGGAACACAAACATACCATATATTACTCTTCAGATTTTGACTTACGTTATGTTCTTATCAGTGAGACACTTTGAAATATTTCCACCTGACAGAAAAGCATTTTTTAAAAACCTACCATGGAAGAAAAAACATCATCAGAAACACTCCTGTCTTTTACATGGTGTGGAGGTGGGAAATATCACCATAAAAAAAGGTTTCGTCCGTTCTTCTTTCTGAATATTTACCCTTAGGTCTACTGCTCTTCAAGCAGGACTCTCAGAAACAATGTCAGATTTAAAATTAATATTTTGTTCCGACGTGACAAACGTGCTCACTTCCAATATTCCTTTCCACTAACGTCTTCGGAATTTTCCTCATACATGGTTGCTTTCTGGGTAACTCAGAGTTAGGCAGGTCCACGCTGTATGAAGGAAACCTGTCCCACAGCTGATAATACATACTCAGTGGTCGGTCACAATAGTGAGTTAAACTGCTTTAGGAGTTAACACCGGGACTGGAAACACCCCTAGGATATTGAATTTCGGGGAAATAGCCCTAGATTGAACGATTTGGAAACTGTATTTTGGAGAAGCAGCCTCAGAAGAAGGAAGAAAGGGGTGGCTCCTCAGCTGACCGTACCAATGAGTCCTTACCTGCTCAACTCCCACTGTGACCAGGCCACCCCCGCCTGGGCCAAAGGTGGCACTCTCCCCCTGGTCAGCCTTGTTCTGCCCACTGCGGTGGGGGAGGAGTAACTAAGAGGCTAAAATTGACCTCAGGGGTGAAGTCAGGGGGCAGGGACACTAAATCTCAAGTACCTCTTGAACACCAAGTGACCTCTGCTAGCCCCACAAGTTTGGGCTGCGGTCTTGGGAGATGACGTAAAACTATAACTAACTCTTCTTTCAACCAAAAGAAAAGGAAGCTTCTTGAAGGCTCCTTTCCATGATAATATTAACTGGATTGTATTTGTTAAAAAAGAATAGAGGTTGGAGTGGAAGAACTCCAAGGGAACCCAAGTGATCTCTGACATTGACAGGCCTGGAGTTGCCTGGGGATTCCCATCTCTGGGGGGTCAGCCCCACACTCCCGGGCTCCCCCTCTCCATCCCAGCACCTCAGTCTGAGGATAGATAATACTGCGTTTTTGTAAAAACAAAGGCATCTTGCATTTGCCATCCTGCACGGACACGACACGTACTCATGTCCCAGGCATCTACATACTCTCACCCCTGACCTCTTCCAAAACTCCTTCAGAACAACGTCCCCTGCTTGTGTTAGCATTTCCTCTGTAAAGCAGCACACGTAGTCTAACTCAGGTCTATTGTTTTTAACCAAGAAAAAGTGCTTAAACCCAACCTGCACAATTTCACTTCATTTTCAACCAATAAAATCAAACTCATTTAGGTTTATGAATAATACTGAGAAAAAAAAAACACAGTGAATCTGATTGTTCTCTTCCATTTTAAAATGATGTGCCTTCATTCACAGCTTTCCCTTAACTGATTCGTTTCCGTACCTTAATGAGTCAAACTCTGATTTGGAAAATATAGAAGGTAAAAAATATATGAATTTTTAGGATAAAAAATGTTTCTGAATATAATAATGCTTTCTTCATGTTTCAAAATAACACTTGTAAATCCTTCTTGTAGTTTGGATTTGGTAACTAAACTGTTAAGTACCCAAGGTTTTTTAAAAATATCAAAAGATAATAACATGGTTTTTAAATACAAAGTTAAAAAGGAACCACTCATATTTGTGGATCATCTCCACGGAAAAGTTCAGTTTCTCAACAAGAAAACCCCCAAATATTTTAGTCATGAAATAAAATTCCATTAGCAAAAACTTGTTTAAGATAAAAATCTATGCCTGTTAATGATTGCCAGAGTTGCCCAGCATAGCTTCAGTAAAATACAGAATTGTCTAGAAAACACAGTCTCCAAAAATGTGTGCAAGTGCTGCAAATCGGACAGACCGGGCAGGGCCACACCCTGGACACCAAGTCCTCCATCTCTGGCATCGTCCCAGGTGACGTCCCCTGCAGCCTTCTCGCTCCCTCAGTGCCGGCATCCACACCGCCCTTACTTCCCAGTGAGCCTTCTGCGTGGACGAGTGTCGAGGGGTGAATGTGAGTCAGGCAGGCCCTGTTCTGACTGTAAACGCTTCACATGGGCGGGTCCCCTTCGGCAGCCGTGGGAGCTTATATGAGCCTGGAGCTTTTCAGGAACTGGATGAGAACTCTGTACACGAACGTGTACTGGATCAGGGTCTGCACCAGCATCATTCTCTGCTGCCTCAGCTTGTCCAGCACCCGTGGGATGTCGAGCACCTAGATTGAGAGACACGGCGGTGAGGGGAATGCACTCCCCCAGAGAGAGAAGGGGGCCGGGAGCGTGGGGGTCCTAGCGCAAATCTCGTTAGGAGATGGTCAAACTCTAACTCTTCTACCTGGGCATCTTCTACCAAAATAACACGCAAATAAGAGAACCCAAGGACCGTTCGGCTCTCTAGGAAGCACACCATGGCAGTCGGCAAGAATAAATGCTCTGCCCTAACGGGTTTGGCTCAGTGGATAGAGCGTCAGCCTGTGGACGCAAGGGTCCCAGGTTTGATTCCGGCCAAGGGCATGTGCCTTGGTTGCGGGCACATCCCCAGTAGGGAGTGTGCAGGAGGCAGCTGATCGATGTTTCTAACTCTCTATCCCTCTCCCTTCCTCTCTGTAAAAAATCAATAAAATATATTTTAAAAAATTATAAATGCCCTATGAAAGGCAGCAACAAGGGGACCAAGGAGAAAGTGGTTGATCCGTTTTCTACGGAAGATGGGTGTGATATGAAAGCACCAGCCTTGTTCAATACAGGAAATATTGGTAAAAACTAGCCACAAGAACTCAAGGAACCAAAATCCTATCTCATGGCCTCAAGGGTTGTGTTGCTGAAGTGAGCCCTGCAGACTTGCAGAATGGTGAAGCTGCATTTAGAACATCCAAGCTAATTACTGAGGATGTGCAGGGCAAACCCTGTCTAATTTCCATGGCATGGATCTTACATGGAGACAGAATGTGCTGCCTGGTCACACAATGGCAGACCATGACTGAAACTCATGTTTTGTCAAGGCTACCGATGGTTATTTGCTTCGTCCATTCTGTGTTGGTTTTACTAAAAAAATGCAACAAGCAGATTCGGATGACCTCTTCCGCTCAGCAGCAACAGGTCCGCCAAATCCGGAAGATAAGGGAAATCGTGACCCGAGAGGTGCCGACAGATGACAGGAAAGAAGTGGTCCATAAACCGATTCCATTGGAAAAGACACAGAAAAGAGGTTGGAAAAAATGGCGGAGGTATAAATGGACGTGTCCTGTGCCTTGTCCTGGTGCAGATAAGGGTGAGCAGCTGAAACGGGTAACATGCAGCCTGAATAGGCAGAGGATTTTCAGCTGAGAGACTGTCTGCAGCTAGGAAAGACCAAGAACCCCCAGGAAAAAAAGGACGGTTGGAGACTGGGGCTGAAGCCTCTCCTGGTGCACCAGCTAAGCAGCGGAGACTGCGTCATCTTGGGTGATTGTTGCCGGCATCCAGAGACCAGCTACTAACCTGGAAACAAGGGATCTCAAGCAGCGTGACTGCGTGAACTCA